GTAACTATAACTATAAATTAAACACAAAGGTTAATTTATTTCCAAAACATGACTCAATTATTAGTCTATTGATGGACAATTAAAATGATAAAATAATGAAAAACCTATATTGAAAATTCACTTTAATTTAGAGGGCGATTCTGCCGTATAATAGATCAAAGTTTGGCAAGGCTACGTTATGGAGCGCTACGCTTGCACGTTTATATATAATGGTACTAAAAACTGTCAAAATATTATGTATTTGCTGTGCAGTCTTTTACACATAAAATGCTACTTCACTCGTATGTTATTAAACCACACCTGTGGTGTTGTCGACTCGGAACGCGCCGGAACGTCGTTCCGGTACTTCCTTTTTGGGCCGGAACTGAAGAAGATTTTCGATAAGAAGGATTGACAGACGTATTGGATTTTTTTTTTTAAAAACTGCTGATGTTTTTTCTAATTTTTGACGAATTTTTATACGTATTATTATAAACAAATGGTTTGAACCGAACCCAAACCGGATCGAACCGGCTTATTTTTTCGATCTGTAGACTGGTGTCCGAAACATTTTCCATTCTGTTGAAATGAAATTTGAACCGACCTTTAAATCGGTCTTCTAATTTTAGCATTCCGGTTAAAAAAAGTGATAGCACTGCGCCACTGAACCATACCACAAAGATCCAGTTATGATAACATTTTTGACGTTAGTGAGCTTTTTAGGTTAGGTTTTCTATCTCATACGCCTGACTGCACAGCAACCACTTAGCATTTGTTAGTTTTTAATACGATTTTATATGAACGTACGAGCGTTGCTCAACCTAACATAGGCTTGTCATAACATTTGTCTATTTCACGGCATAATTAGGCCATTAATTTAATAATGAATGAATTATTGGTTCTGACTCTATCTAATAGCAAATCAAATGCAAAATGATATAATGTAGTAATCAATTATAGTATGGAGTATAATAGAAATATCACATACATATAAATATTTATAATTTTCATGAAAATTTGTTTATAGAATAATATGAATTATTCTCAATGTAGTCATTTGTGAAGATTTCAGCTCGATTCGTGAAAATACAACTGGATTTTTTCTCGTATTGTGACCGTGCATATTGTTTGTCAAGATATGATTGGTTTTGACTTCTTTCAGCACAATTCCTTGTTGCCAAATGTAAATGTTTTTGTAAATTTTAAGTAATTTAAATCTGAATCTACAACGCTCTCGAGAAGAAAGTAGCAAAGGTCTCTCTCTCAACCCTTATTTATTATTTTTCTATTCCGTCTGGTGGCCAGGTCAGCAAAATATTCATTCTAATCTCCAAATAGTTCACTTCAACGCCAAGCAGCTCAACATGTCTTTTGTTGAAAGTTTAATGGGTATATACAGTTTTATTTTCAATTGACACAAATCAGTTGGATAAATAGTTTCTTTCTCCGCAACTGCCAATGCTGTTTTGTCAGCAAACCGAGTTGCAATTAATTACTCAAAATCAATCAAAATATTTATAAAGCCTGCAATGAATAGTATATTCAGAAAATGTCGAATACCGAATATTCGGCATGTCCCAGAGACGGAATACCGAATATTCAGCAACAATTCGGCGGGTTTTTAGCTCTTAAACTCGTTCTTAATAATGTATTACTATTCATAGTTTGTCATCACAATTTGTCAACCGATACAAAAATAACACTGACGTTTCTTAGTAGTCAACATAAAACCTTTGACAATACTTTTTTATCAATTCACTAGCGCTCAATTTGCGACTACCATAGGACTAACGCTTCTGAACGCGGATTTTGTTCTGAGGTAATAGGCCCTGACGATCGACTGTTGAATAATCACTAATTCGGCGGATTTTTTTATTCTACATTAATTTTCTAATATATATAATTCATGAATTGTTTGAAAAGGGGCAATTTTATAATTCAATATTAATTAGATTAACAATGTAATACTTTTAGCTGACGAAAAATGTTGGGAGAGTAATATTAATTTGATTTCAAAATTTAACTAGTGGGGTGTATGGCATCTTGCCTTAACGCAAATTGCTGGAACTTCCCATACCGTAACGAAATGATCGAGGAATATTAAATGTTTTAAAATAGATCATTATAGATATTGTAACATATCGAATATTTATAAGAAATATATAAACTAAATTGGAAAGTTGAAATTATTTGTTTAAAGTATATTAGAACAGAATTAAAATAAAAATCTGAATTAATTTCGATATACAAAAAAAAATTTTTTGAAAAAAAAAATTAAAAAGAAAATTTTGAAGCAAATAGCTTTTTTTTTACTTTTTTTACTAGATCTCTGAAACCGCTAGACCTGCCTTCATGAAAATTTGATCAGTTCTTCATCTTGTTAATACAAGTAAAATGTTTTTTGAATTATTAAAATCGGAAGCTCCGTTCTCTTAAAAACTGAGTTACCGTTTTTGGCACTTTTTGCCCCATATTTTCGGAACGGCTGGACCTACCTTTGCCAAAAACTAATCAGCACGTCTCCTTATCAATCTTGTCTAGCCGTTCCGAAGATACGGGGCAAAAAGTGCCAAAAACGGTAACTCAGTTTTTAAGAGAACGGAGCGTCCGATTTTAATAATTCAAAAAACATTTTACTTGTATTGACAAGGTGAAGAACCGATCAAATTTTTATGAAGGCAGGTCTAGCGGTTTCGGAGATCTAATGAAAAAAGTAAAAAAAAATGCCATTCGGCGGTCAAAAATGATCATTAGACATATGCACATCAAATTATCAGATATTTTTTAGAGATTTTAACAATAAGTGTAAATTTGGTTTACATTCCTATGGGTTCCGTACCAATGTTTACGCGTTAGACAGCGACGCGGCGCTTACGCGCTTTGATATTTCGTCTTTATGCAGTTAAAGCAGTACGATTGCTTTGAAAAAAGTTTAGATCTTTCAAAATATGTCAAAATAAAGAAAAAAAATTTTAAATTTCAAAAAAAAAAAAAAATTCCAAAAAAAGTAATTTTTTGTCCAATTTATAGTTTCTCAAAAATCTTATTTTTTTGAAGTAAAATTTTTTCAAAAATGTTAATTGTTTTTGAAAAAATAATAATTTTTGGTACGGGAAGTTCCAGCAATTTGCCTTAAGGCACGATGCCTTAATTGCCTTAAGACAGAATTCCACTTACAGCTAGTTTAATTTTTGGAATGTGCATATATTTGAGTATATTCTCTGAAAGAAGTTAATCCGATGAATACTTTCGGAGATGTACCTGAATTTGTAAGGCCACATCAATGTATCGGGCATATTCAAAAGAGGATGGGCTCACGACTGCGCGACCTAGTCAAAAATAAGACTGAATCAATGGAAAAAGACGGAAAAACAATTAATAAAAAAGTACTTTCTGGAATAATAGAAACAAATATTAACTTCCCTTAGGGCAAGTTATAGTAATCGCAAAAAAATCGAAAATGAAAATTTTTGCATTTCTCGACGTTTCAAAGGTTTCTGAATATTTTGGCATACCTTAGAAAAAATGGATGTATGTGTGTGTGTGTGTATGTGCGTGTGTGTATGTATGTGCGGATACAAATAGAGATTTTAATAATAAGTATAATTTTGGTTTACATTCCTATTTTAAGTAGTAAGTAGGAAATAATTTTTTTTCAAAAATGTTAATCGTTTTTAAACAAATAATAATAATTGGTACGGGAAGTTTCAGCAATTTGCCTTAAGGCACGATGCCTTGATTGCCTTAAGACAGAATTCCACTTACAGCTAGTTCCATGTGTTTCTACAGTTGTTGGAATAGCGGCTTACATTGCAGCTGCAATATGTAATGAAGGTACAACATTATTGTTACACATTATGAGTGCATAAGGTCTTTCATTAGGCACCGCAGCTTATGATTAGGCTCAGAAAGGACGCAGAGCGTGTGATGATCTCCGGCGCGAGAGTGCTAGGGAGCACGCGCGAAGAAAGAATGGCTCGACAACAACGCCAGCTTGACTTACTGGAAGCTAAGGATCCTACACAAGGAATCGATGATACCATAAAAGTTTAAAAAAATAAAATTTACCTATGTGTAAAATACTTCTGAATCTTTAAACGCGTTTATCTCAAAACTGTCATTTCAGAGTCGATAAGCAAGATTTCTCTGAGATGGCTCAACTAATCGGGCTGAAATTTTAACACAATCTTTTTAGATACATTCTTCAGGTATTGAACGAAGGAATAAGATGTAAAAAAATTTTACTGTATTTTTTTGCATTCGTCTATTCTTCAAAAGAATTCACCTTTTTGTTAGTTTAGATAATCTCTAAACCGACGAAATCGTGCTCACCGCCGAACGCCTTTTTATGGAGGACATTCGGGAAATCATCTGCAGAGGCGGTGCACACCAATATTTTGACACGAGTAATATACAATTATAGTGTCTCTTTCAAAGTGTGCCCTTTCAGAATTACTATTACTTGTACTTAATAAATAAAAGCTTGTCCAATTGATATCGTAAAGGCCGAATAGTATGTATTCATCTCTACTTTCCCATTTCTTATTTTAATATGAAATTTTTTTCAATGATCTTGAGAAAAACTATATTTAAAATTTCATATCTTGTGTTGGCGCTCCTTAAGGTGTGCACTCGCATTTTTGGCATGCGTCGCATTCAAGGTAGGACCGGCCCTGATTATTACTTAATTTCATATTTTAAGTGAATTAATTTGTCAAATCCTGTTCATATATGTATCATTCAATCTACGATCAACTAATTAAATATTTCATATTCGAAGCCAAACAAAAGAATATTTGACACAATGATACTTCTAAATAATTTTTTTGATAATAAATTTATTTTTTGTATTGTGAAATAATTCAGTAAAGTAAGGCAAAATACGACATCCATACGTTTATAAAATTGATATGTCAAACTGAATTATATAATTTCATCTGCCAACATATATTGTATCTTTTTTTAATTTTTGGCACATCTCAGCTGCTTTTCCGCAATGATAATAAAGACATTACATTTTT